ACACATGGATCCATAGGTAAAATTGCCATGGAGGTGGGAGCAGTGCATCTCTCCCTGGTCTGGAGCACTGAGCACTGGACAGACAATGGCTGCAGAGTGAAGACGTACACATCAACCAGAAGCTTGGGAACTAGGAGACTAAAATTCTGGGACCAAGGGGCTGGGGAACACCACAGCATCACCCCAAGGCTAGTGACAGCTGGCGCTCCAGCAGCAGCTCTACCTTCACAGCGTGGGGCATCCCCTGTCCAGATCCCTGTGGCTGTACACTCATGGCTCCCCGGCCCCATCAGTACAAACCCCTTCTGGCAGGAAAAGGCACACGTGGAGCCAAAGGTGAAGTCCCCATGGAGGTGGGAGCAGTTCAGCTCCCCCTGGTCTGGTGCTCTGAGCACTGGGCAGGTGATGGCTGCAATGGGATAGCAGAACTCAGAGATGGGGTAGATGAGGTTAAATCTAATAATTAAAGCTGAATCCAAATCAAATCATACCCACACTCACCTCTTCAAAACTGTAGTTAGTGCAATGATTTTTCTACAAGTGATTTCCTCAGGGAAAGTTGCTGCTCTGCCAGAACCCTGTTTATCCCTTTCACTACCCTAGGCCGAAGTCCCAGGGAGGCAGGACGATAGCTACTGCAGTCCCATTCATTTCCCTCCCTTTACTGGAGCAGAGACCAGCCTCTGTCCTTGTCACAGTGGCAGGAGGATGGCTTTGTGACTGTAAAGCACTGCAATGGCTAAAGAGGTTGTGTACCAGCCTCCCCTGCCTGTTCCCAGGGTGTGTTTTGCTGCATGCCAGGGAAATACCCAAAGCTTTCTGGGGTGAGTGGCTCTGCTGCCTGTGGGAGCACCAAAGGTCAGTGCCAGCAGGGCAGTAACACCACCCAGCCCAGCTAAGACAGACTGCATTCACTGCATCTTCTGCTTTCAAACTGAAACCAAACACTTTCCTGGGTAGACTTTTCCTTTCATAGCTATTTTACAGGCAATTCTGGTTTCCCAGTCCCCAGAGGTGCCTGTTGGTGGACATGCTGTGCGGGAGGGAGCAGCTGGCCCAGCCCCCTTGTGGGTCAGCCAGCAATGGGCACACAATGGCTGCAGGCTGGTGTGGGGAAGAGTTTGAGGGAGAGCAGGCAGCCTTGCCCCGCACAGTCCTTGCTGCACCACCAGCCTTGCTTGCAGTCTTGCTCTGCTTTTTTCTGGATTAAGCCCAGCTGGCAATGCTTGCTAACACCATTTTGTTATCAGCACAGGCAACCAACTGACTCATCTGATTGTTTGCAATAAAACAAAAATCAATCATATTAAAGCCAGCAGGAAAAAAACAACAAGCTGGGAAAGCAAGCCCCTGGGAGCCTATAAAGCCTGGAGTACACAGGCTCAACCCAGCTTGTCTGTGGGGATTTTTGCAAAACTGGGAGCCAGCTCCTGCCCTTGCCCCTGCTGGGGATACTGGTTACAGAACAGTCACATCACATCTCCATGCCTGTTCCCCTTAACTGCAGACAGTTTTGCTGGTCTCAGCTACCTAAGGTCCTGGATTGGACCACAGGCCCACTCTGCACAGGCAACAGCAGCAGCAGCTCTAATTTTAAGGCAGGCTTCTTTTAAAAAGAATACATATATATACACAAAGATGCTGCCCACTCCCATTCCTTCCTAGTCACAGTTGTGTCCCATGTCTGCTCAACTCACCCCACCCTTGTGTAAGGCTGCAGGTGTACCACACAGCAGCACAGGAAAGGTGGAGCAAGGCTCTTGCACCCCCAAGAAAGTCTGGCAGTTCTCGGATACCTGGTGCCTGGCTCCAAAACCTCAAGCCACTGACAGGAAGACTTTCTCTGCTCTTGCAGCAAAACATACCACAGCTTTCTCTCCTTTGTGGTTTCCTACCACACTCTGTCCCACCCACCTCATTTCATGAGTCCTTATCCCTGTTAAGGTGGCCCACCCCTGCCAGGATACACCATTCCCGTGGCTGTGGGACAGCACAGACAGAGTGCTGATATCTGAGTGGGATTCAGGGTAGAAAGCATGGGCACTGGGATGGCCAGGCAGAACATGGCCTCACAGCTGCTCTGCTCATTGCAGCCTCAGGGAATCCCACCTCATGTGCAGCACCAGGAGATGCTTCCACAATAGGTAAGGGCACAACAACACTTGCCTGAACAGCATTGGGCACACAGGGCTGGTCCCCCTCAAAGCATCAATGCTACATCCCTGAGACCCTCAGCCCCTGCCAGGCCCTACCTGTGCAGGTGGGAATGTTTGCTGACCACTTCTGGGAAGGCAGGCACTGCAGCACGCCTGCCCCTTGCCGCTCAAACCCCTTGTGGCACCCGAACTCGCAGGTGGAGTTGTAGCTGAAGTCTCCATAGGGATGGCTGCAGTTCATGGGCACTCCCTTGGGCTCCAGCTTGGCACACTGCACAACTGGGAGAGACATGGTGCCACAGCCCGTCAGGAGCACTGGAACACTGCTTTGTCACTAGCAAATGATGGAGAGGTGACTCTCCATCAGAGAGGGAGGGGCGAGGATGGATGTCTCACCATCCGTGCACTCAGGGCCATGGAAGCCAGGGTAGCACTCGCAGCGGTAGCTCCCAATGGTCTCAACGCACTCACCACGCTGGCTGCACGAGAAGGGCTGGCAGGAGGCTGCACACACAGGGCACAGTCATCAGGAGCTGCTGACCACCCTGCCGAGGTCCCCAGCCCACCCAATCCAGCTCTGGTCCACAGTCCCCCGCTCACCCCGGTAGCACAGTGCCTTTTTCTTCCGGTTGCAGGGCTCATCATTCCACTTGCCAGACTGCTGTGGCCGCTGGATGTAGATCTCCACACAGTCCTGGTTGGAGCGGCGGTTGTTGGGCTCCCCCGCTGCCCAGTTCTCTGCCTCCTTGGACAGCGCCTTCTGGGTGCCCACCCAGGTCCAGACACCACCCAGCTTGCGGATGCCAATCCAGTAGTAGCGCCCATGGTAGGGTAGGCTCTTGTTGAGGTACTCGATCTCCTGCTGGTTCTGGATTGCCACCAGGTCAGTAAAGAAGGTCTGGCAGAAATTCCTGGCCTGCTCCCACGTGTAGTCCCCTTGGTCACTGTAGTGGTAAGTCCAGGCATCCACCTCCACCCACAGCACCATGCCTGTGAAAGAGGATGAGATCTGGGACTGATGCAGAAGGGATGGGAGCTGGGTCAGGGATGGGATCCCTTGGGACATGAGGGTGGGCCAAGCCTGACATCATGGCCAAGAGATGCCAGTGGCTGCCTGGGTGAAGAGACTGGATGAAGGGATGAGTGTGGATGAGAATGGGACTCCATGGGTACACAAAGACATGGGTGGATCAGGCATGGGCAGAAGGAGCTGAGGACAGAGGGGGTTGGCATAGGGATGAGGAAGGTGGAGGTGACAGGGTGGAGGGTGAGATGGGGCAGCACAGCATAGGGCAGACAGAGCACAGGATGCAGAAGAGCCCCAAGCAGTGATGCCAACCCTCTTCCAGCATAAGGATTGAACGCTCAGCCCCATGGCCCTGTTCCCCTGCCCACAAAAGTTTCCCAAAGAGGAAAGTCCCATTTCAAGATGGTTCCATAAACACAGTTCCTTCCTTGAGTGCAGATGTGTATACTTCAGTTTTCTTGCTTTATCCTGATATATGAGAGCCATATTGGAGCAAGGCAGAGCAGCCAATATGCCCTCACCCACAAAAGCATTTGGACCCCAACCTGCTCATCTGAGGCAGAGATGGTCTAGAGTCTTATAAAACTCAGTGTTGCAAAACAAGGTCTTTCAAAAACAAGCTCACATTATAGTCATACCCAGAGGCAGGGCAAAGCCAGAAAGTAACTGGAACCCACACCCAGAAGCGAAGGGCACTTTGCTGAAACCCTGCTCTTATTTACAGTATTTCACACCACAACTTTATGCAATCAAATGGTTTTAGACACAGAAAGAAGCTTCCTCCATTCTCCCCAGGACAGCTATCTCCACAACTGCAGAAAGTGATGTGGGGATATCATATCTCCATCTGTGCAGAAGGCAAGATGGGGATCAAAGTCTGCTCCAAACAACCAGCCTAGCTTACGCTGTATCTCAGGAGAACATTTTATCATGCTGTGGTTGTGCAAAGATTCGGGCATTGCAGATTAGATGCACATCTTCTAAAGTCTAACTAGATGCACATCTTCTAAAGTCTAATTAGGGCTGTACTTTGGTCCATTGTTATACATTTTTGTAAGTAATTTTCCAAAATTTACCTGTTTTTTCTTGTGAAAGAGCAAACTATTCTCTTTGTTCAACAGACCTGAAGCTGGGGTAAATGTGCTTCCCTCTTTACCTTTTGGGAATTTGGGGCTGCAGGACAGGAACTCAGAACCTTCTGGGAGCCTGCCTCATCCTCAGGTCCCACCACCCTCCTCCTGGCCCCTGCTGCTCCCCAGTACAGCTTAAGGCAGCTCACACAGCCCATCCCCAAACTGAGAAGGGCCAAAGTTTGACATCCGCTCCATGTCTGTTCTCCAAATGCTCTCCTACCTCTTTCCTCCAGCTCCACTAGTCACATCCTCTCTATGGCACAGCTCATCTCCCTAGTCTTATGCTATCTGTCCTGCCCCACCTGGTGCTGAGCCCCTAGATGATTGCTGTTTTCCTGTGTTTTGCCCCCTTGGCTCCCATGGCAGCCCTAATACCTCTTCCCAAGGTGGTGCTCAGCACTTTCCACAGTTGAGGTTCATTTGCCTTTTTGTTTTCTTTCAGAGCCAAATCTCAGCCTCCTCCTGACACTGCACTTTTCTCATTTATGTTCCTTAGTTTAGTCACTAAGGTTCTTAGGAAAATAATTCTGGTCAGAGAATTTCCAGGGAGAGAGCAGGCACCAGCAGGTTTTGCTCTGTGCAATGCCAGCACATGAAGGAAATAACCTACAGGCAGCAAAAACAAGTTAGTTTCTATGCTCCTGATATCAATTAGGAGCTCTAATTCTGTGTGATGCTGCACCACCTATGCTATGAACCCTTACACCCATGGGTCCTGTGACTCCATCCATGCCCAACTCCCTAGCATGACCGTGCGTGTAGGCAGTGGGTAGAGCTTCCCTGCCTTTCCCTGGTTCACAGCACAGTTCAGAGTACCAGGTGCCATGCTGCATTTGGGGAACCAAACATTCTGCAAGGACCTCAGCCATGGCCTGGCCTTCCCGGGGGAGCATGGTCTGCCTGGAGGGAGCTGGTACAAGCAGGGGCAACCCCCTCCCAGCCCACAGGGATTCAGCCCTGGGGATGGGCTGATGAGCCTCCAAAATAACAATGCTACATTTCTCCGGTTTCTCAGACCTGCAGACTCCTTGGCAGCAGGGTCACACTGGGCTTACTGAGTGGGTGGTGGCTGGCTTACCCCATGTAATGGCAGCAATGCCCAGGTAGGTGCCACGAGAGCCAAGAGTCCATGTCCTCCCAGCAGATCGCAGTCCCTCAGCAGTGCCCTGACAGAGAAGGAGACATGAGCGTGCATATCCCAAGGAGTTCACATGTGCACCCACACCACTGCCAGGTAGTCCTGGCTCACACAAGGGCAGTCGCTTGTGGCACTGCCACACAGACACACACAGTGCTCCCAGCCAGGTACAGCTCTGCTGCAGGAAGGGCCCTTTGCAGTTAGGCACTTGGTGGGAGCTGTGCCTACAGCACAGCTAGGCACTTCACTCCTGGGGAGCCCCTAGGTCCTGTGCCTCCAAGCCCCTTCCTGCCCAGCCAGGGCTGGCATCTACCTCTGCAGTAGCTGTGCCCTGTGTGCCTGGCAGTGTCCCATGAGCCTGGGGTCACTTGGCAGGGTGCCTCCGGAGCAGCCTGTGTGTGTCCCACAGCCCCCAGCTGTGGTTCCTGTCAATGCCTGCCCACAGCCCTGCCCTCCCCGAATCCCCTTGTCTAGGCAGACCCTCTGTCATCCCCAAGGAAAGGAGCAGGACTTACCATGTTGGTGCTGCGGCTGCACCGTGCCCAGCCTGTGGCAGCTGCCCCTCAGTGGGCACTGCTGCTCACGCTTCCTCTGAGCATGCAGCACATCGCTCCCTGCCCCTGGCCTCTTCCCCTCCCATCCCAACCCCGCTGCCAGCCCACATCCTGCCCCACACCCTCGCCTCTCCCGCCACAGGACTCTCCAGCCCCAAGAAACAATTCTCTGAGCCCAAGGCCAGAGGCAAACAGTGGGGTCAGCACTGGCCACGGTCCTCATGGACCTAGCTTGGCAGCAGTCCCATGGCATGGGAGTTGGCTGCATCCCCACTGCCATGGGGATTGGATAGCCACAGGAGATGGCCCACAATGAGACAGGCTTGCCCGAGCACCCCAGAAGGAGGAGAAGGGCCCCCTGAAAAGTGTTCAGCCCCAGTCCATGGTGCCCAGAGCACCAAGACGTCTCTGACCCACCATGTCCATGTGGCAGCACCTACACTGGTGAAGGACAGAGGAGGCTGAGGTGTGATGAGGACCCTTGTGGGCTGAGTGGGACGGTGGCTCACAACTTCCCAGCTCCCATGCCAGATGATCTCCTCTTTTGGAGGTGTTTTGCTCTGGCTACGAATCTTTATATACTCTTTATAAACAGTTGCTTACGCAATGTATTTTTCTGTCTTTACCTTTAAGTCTTCATGAGAAAGGTCCAGGAATATGCCAGAGGAACTTCCCCCTGACTTATTAACTTCCTTTAGAAACTTCCACCAATGTTTCAGGAACATGTCTAATTGTGTCCACCGCCCCTTGGATCATTATAATAATTATAAATCTTTTCTCAGCCTGTCCTGCTTGTAAGTAGAATTGCCTTGGCCAGGTTTTCCACAGAAATTACTCTGCTCATTTCCAACTAAAGCCAAACAAGAGCCATGCATGTAACATGTATTTTCCAGTTCCAAAGAAATTGATGCTGCTCCACCAGGACATTCTAGACAAAAGAAGGAACCCATTCCACAAGAGCCATAACCCACTACAATTACTTTATCATTGGCCAATATAAATGAACCTTGTTTCCTGTCTTTGGATGTCTTCCTTGAAAAATGTTTTAATATAGTTGTGTCTTTTTATGGAATTGCTGAGTCTGTAGATCCAGTAATTCAGGAACACTTGTTTTCTAGCAGCTCCTCTGCCATGAGTGGTCAGTTATGGGAAGGGAAGGAGCAGCCGGGCAGGCAGAGAGGCTGAGGGGCAGCTGCTGGGGAGGAGACCAGTGCCAAGTGCTGATGGTCACCTGGGCAGGGTGGGAGCTTCCTCTCCTACTGCTAAGACACTGCTGGGACTCAGAGGGATGTTCATGGGTACACAGCCCCAGGGCAGAGCAGGCTGTGCCCCTGCCAGTTTCACTTCTGCTGGAACACGGTAGGGCAGAGCAGTAGGAAAAAATACTCCTGCTTTTATTTTTGTAACTACAAATAGTTTTGTTTCAAATAGGTAACTACAAATAGGTATTGCTTTAAAAATGGAAACAAGGTGTCTGAGATGCAGAGTCTGTTGATGCTGCAAAGACAGTATGTGACCAATTTTGAGCTCTGTGTGGAGACAGGTGCCCCATGCCTGGGTTTGGAGAAGGGGTCCTACATGGCAGGATGGATACTTGGCAGGATGGAGGCTCACTTTGTAGGTACTGGGAAAAGGTACACATGGTAGGAGGGAGAGAAGACCCGAATCATCTCTGCTGGGAGCTGGTTAATCACCAGAAGCCCTTTTATATCTCAGGTTATTTCCAAGGTTGGAGGTTGGGTTCCCTGGAAGGGATTCAGGATGCTGCAGGGCACATGCTGGAATCCTGCTGTTCTGCTCACCAAGGAAGGGTCTGAGCAGTGTGGGGATTTCCCAGGTGTCAGGATGGTGCATCCTGTCCCCCAGCCATCCCTCTGAGGGCACAAGGCAAGCTGCCTGCTAGGGCTTTGCTCAGCATGGGCTCAAGGGCACAGGTACAAAGACACTTTCTCGTGTCACCTCTGCACTGGACGCAGGCACTGGAATGGAGAAGTGCCTCCTTTGCCGTGCCGCAGTGCTGGGCACCAGTCGGGGCGATGCTCTCGGTGCCGCGGAACCACGCCGCAGGCTCTGCTCCTGGGGAAGGGGCGCGGCCGCGTGTTGCTGAGGGCGGAGGCTCCCGCCCCGGGCTGGCACAGCCTGTTCCCCTCCTTAAGCAATGCCTCCGCAAACCGCAGAGGAATCGACACTGCCCGGCCGGCTCGGCTGCTGCCGGCGATACAGCAGGCATCTTCCTGGGAGCCCCACTCACCCCGGGGAGGGCTCAAGAGCCCACTGGAGCTACCCGATCCCGCCCCGTCAAGGCTGCGGGGTGGCACCGGCGAGGACACACAAGCCTAGGTGCAGTCCCGCTGCTGCCATCCCTCCGTTCCTCCCTGAGCACACGGGTGGCTCTCCCTGAGACTTTAAAGGCATCTCCTGTGCGGGCAGGAGATTCCCTTCCACCACAGGTCCCTAGGAAGTGCTTGACCCAAAAGGTGTCCCTGAGCTGCAGGGTGTCGTTCTGCAAGTCAGCCAGCGAGCAGCTCCAGCAGCCGGACCCTTCTTCTCCACCCTTTTATCAGCTGCTGCCCTGCTCCAGGCAGCACCTGATAAAATCTTTCTCACAATTTGAAAGCAATTGGACACCAGGAGATGCATTAAGGGTGCTACCCTGGCTTGGAGGAACTGAGATAATTGCGAGGATTAGCCAGGACCAGAAGTCCAGGGGCAGGTACCCTATACCCGCACCCACAGGGACCCTGAGGCACTGGGACAGCCCTGGCTGTGGAGTATAGGGGTAGTTTTAGGCAAATCACTCCTGCTCACCCTATCCAGAGCCTCTAAGAAATGTTTCTTTGACCTCAGGTGTAGGACAGTTCTCTGCCTCCTGCCTTTCACTGCAAAGCAGGTGCTGGAGAGCCTTTTCACTGGGCATCACTGCCACACGGGTACCCCTGCCCGTGCTGCCTGCTGGTTCCCTGGCACCTGGCAGCAGCCACATGTGCACGGCACAGATAAGGGTTTGCCAAACAGGATGTCTGAGGCATAGATAACACCGACATTATCTCACTGCTTGAGCGATATGGCATAAACAAGTGACTCTGCCCACCTGGGATTCCCAGGCGGCACCTCTGCCCTGCCATCGAGCTGGGGCACAGGGTGGGTATGGGCTGCTGGGGTGCAGCTGCAGGGATGTGCCACATCCAGGGGCAGCCCTGAGTGACAGCCAAACCACCCAGCTTACAGTTCCTAGGAACAGTGATTGCTCTGCTTCTGCCCTGCCTGGCTCTCCATGGCACTGTGCATCCCTGGAATGCTGAGACAAGCCACCAACTCACCTGGCCCTGCCCCAGTAGAACCCATCCTCCTGGCAGGACAGTAGTACCAGCCACACTGGCTTGGTGTAGGGGCAGCCCAGGCACAGGAAGCACTGTTAGCCAATGAACCAGGCCACCCTCACCTTGGACACCCCCAGTGGTTTTGCCACATGTCTGGTTTAATGCAGAGATTTCAGCCTTCTCACATCTCACATAGCAAACCCAGAGCAAGATTCTTCTGCCTGTCACCTGTCACCCGCTGTGTACTATTGCCTGCTCCCCTCCCTGGGCAGCAGATGAACAGGCTCATCACCAAGAGCCGTGTATCTAGCCAGGGCTAGCTCCTGCACAGCAAAAGACATCCTCTCCTCTGGCCAGGAAATCCTGTGGCATCTCCACCAGCTGTGCCCAGCTGTGTTTCACCTGAGACAGAAGCAACTTTGAGGACATTCTTCACCTTTGGCAGACCAGGGCTGAGTTTTCCTGTTCTAAAAGTTCCTCTCTCTTTCTCACCTCCCCACTTCAGCAACACAGCCTGTCTGGCTCGGCTGCTGCCAGTGATGCAGCAGGCACCCTCCTGGGTGATGATTTCTCCCCTTGGGTCTTGGTTAGCTTTCTGCTCCAAGATTAGTGATTTATTATCTGCAGATATAGCAGGCACTGGCACAATATATTTTAAAGTCTTTTTTATGCCTGAACCACCTTGCTTTTGTAGATCTACAAAGTGTCGTGTCTGCACTGCCCCAGGTGTTGCTAACTGCTGGGCTCTGCCCAGTGTAGTGTGTGCGACCCCAGGGACAGGGTAGCCCCGTCTGAATCGCTGTCTCTGTGGCCATCCAGCTCTCCATGCACAGGGTGGAGCCCTTGCTGAACCTGACTCTGCCTAAGAGTCCTGACTTCTGGGACAAGCTCCTGCAAGAAAGAAACAAAAGCTAAAATAATGAAGGGAGGGATGTTCCTAGCCCCTTGCTGTCACCTTTGAAATTACTTCTTACTCCTGTGACCTCTTGCCACTCTGCTTTAAGAGAAAGATGGTCACAGACAAAAATTTAACTTCATCCATGGGCAGAGGGCTACAGGCTCCTTCACATCTAAGCTGCAAAAGCAAAAGGTCTTTTCTCCACTTTTCTGACAGGAAATGGCAAGGGAACATCGGCAGTGCTTTCCTAGCTTGTTTTTATTTTTATTTAGCCTTAAGCAAAAGGACTATTTTGCAGAGAGGCATCTTGGGAGGACTCACTGGCCCGACAGGAGGTGAGGCAGGACGTTCTACCCCCACCCAATCCTGCTGCCCTGTGGGACTCAGGTGGTCCAGCCCCGTACCGGCACCGTACCTGGCTTCTCAGGGCAGGGCGCAGCTCCCCGGGCTGCCCGGCTCCAGCCGCAGCCGGCCCTCCTCTGCTGCCTCCGCGGCTGTCACACCATAGTCACACGAAGGCTTGGTGCTGCTCTGCAGGACCTGGGAACCTGCTTTTGCCTTCCGGGCACTGAGGCCCTCCGGCAGGGCGCGGGGCCGGCAGCAGTGTCCTCCTCGAGGGCCAGTGCGCCGAGCTGCGTTGGCCGCGGCGTCTGTCCCGCCTGCCGCGGCGGTGCCCGGACGGTGCCCCGGGGGTGACGGGGGCCGCTGGGCCGTTGCTCTCCACGATGAGCCGGAGAAGGCCTGAGCCAGGGAAGTCCATGATGACCACCCCCCAGCGCATGGGCTGCCCGCCCCGGCGCTGCAGGTGCTGGCAGCAGCGGGGGTTCACAAAGCGGGCCACCTCCTCTGGGCAGGTGAAGAGCCCATTGCCTGAGCAGAAGGTGAGGTACATGGTGGTGGGGTCTCCGCCAGCCGCCTTCTCCAAGTGCCGCCACACCCGGGCCCACTTGCGCTCCAGTGAGAGCACGTTCCAGGCGTCGCTGATGCTCAGCTGCTCGTAGGGGATGCCCAACACCTCCCGCGCCAGCGCTTCCAGCACCACGATCTTCCCGCGCACCTGGCCCAGCGTTGGCACCTCCTCCCGGCACCACACGCAGCCCTGTCCCTCTTCCAGCAGGCAGCGGTGCAGCTGGGCAGCGAAGCCAGGCCGGGAGAAGATGGGCAGCTCCTCCTTGATGCGCATAAGCACGGCCTCGCTGGGGTGGGCGCGGAGGAAGTGCAGGGTGCGGCGCAGGACGCCGCGCAGGCTGGCCCTCTGGAAGGTGCAGAGGTGGTAGATGCGGAGCTCACCCCGCGACAGCTTGCAGCGCACATCCAGGAAGCGGATGCCGGCCGCCAGCTGGGCCTCCAGGCCCCAGCTCTGGCACCGCAGGCGCCGGCCACCAAAAAGGCTGAGGGAGTCGTGGGTGCCAGGGATGGAGAGGTGGGAGAGGGGCAGGGTGTCGGGGAGCTCTGCCATCCAGTCAGGGCAGCAGGCTGCCGGCTGGGGCACGCAGTCGAAGGCAGCGCTGCGCCGGGACCATGTCTCCATGCCACCGGGAGAGCGGGCACCTCGGCACCTAGCTGGCCCCCGGGAACCCTGCCGTGGAGGAGAAGCAGACCATGAGCGGTGGGAGCATGGCCCCGATACATCTCGATCACACCCTCCCCAGTGGCATTCCCATGGTACCATGAAACCCTAGACCACACCATACCCTATAACATACCACATACACTCCATATACTTTGCTGCCTGTACTTCTGTCCACTGTACTGTTTCCCCGCCACTCTCAAGCACCTGTCCCTGTACCCCCGAGCCCTGGTACGCCCCAGCCTCCTCCTCATTCACCCACCTGGGTTTGCCTGTGGCTGCGAAGCAGAGCCCAATGGGCAGGGCACGGCCGTGGGTGCCCGCGGCACACTGGCAGGTGGAGCGGGATGCTAGCCATTAATCTGGTGACTGTCATGACGCGTGTCCTGCCTCGCAAATGGCACGTGCACGTGGGATTCATCCTCAGCCCTCGGCCAAGGAGCACACTTGACAGACACACTAGGCTGGAAAACCACCTGGCTGATCCCGACAGCAACCATTCAGGCCTCTGCACGTCCCTCCCCAGGAATCAGGACAAACGGGATCTTGGTGCTGCGGGGCTCCTTGATGCTGCCCACGTGAGTGGCTGTGCAGAGCCGCGGGGTGCCTGCGTGCCTGCTCCAGAGCTGTGTCCTGGTGGGACCTGGACCGCCCCGGCGAGGACTGGCGTCGTCTCTATCAGAGAGACGACGCACAGACAGTGTCCAGAGTGGGGGTCTGTGCTTGCCAGCACATCCCAAGACCTGCTCAGCGAGTGTTCCTAAGGAAGTGGGCTTCATCTCCCTGCTCATCAGGCACCAGGGACTATTTCACACTGGGGTCACTGCAAGGCTGCCCGGCAGAGAGTGACCCACCTCCAGCGCAGGGGACAGAGCTGCCGAGCACCCCGGTCGGCAGCACATGCTGAACCCAGCGGGTTTTGGAGAGGAGCCGCCGGACAGGTGACAGACCCCTCCGAGCATCCCTCCAGCTCACATCCCCTCCGCCTGAGCGGGGCAGGCACAGGGATCCTCCGGGGGCGTTCGGCTCTGCCACTGCAGGAACAGCCGGCGGGGACCGGCCGAGGGGCACCTTCCCGGCGCAGCGGCCTGAGCGGGGGTCTCTGGGGCTGTCGCCGCCGCGACAGCTCCGCCCCGGCCCCGGCCATGGCCCCACGTCGCGTCCGCCCGCGGCTGCCCGGGCACGGAGCACCCCTCCCGCGGAGCCGCAGCCGCTCCTCCCGGCCCGGTCCGGCCCCGCCCGCTGCTCTCGGCATGGCGGCGGCGGGCGGCGGCGGCCGGAGCTGCTTCGTGCTGGGCGCCTCCGGGGAGACGGGCCGGGCGCTGCTGCGGGAGCTGCTGGCCCGGCGGGCCTTCGCCCGGGTCACGCTGATCGGGCGGCGCCGGCTGAGCCTGGGCGAGGCGGAGGTGGCCGTGGTGCGCAGGCCGGGACAGGGCTGGCCGCGGTGGCGGGGATCGGGACGGCGGCGCTGACCCTCGGCCTCCCCGCAGGAGCAGGCAGTGGTGGACTTCGAGCGGCTGGGCGAGCACGCCGCCGCCTTCCAGGGACACGACGTGGGCTTCTGCTGCCTGGGCACTACCAGGGCCAAGGCTGGCGCAGTGAGTGGGGACCCCCTGACCTCCGGGCGAGCAGGGGTCCCGCTTGTCCCCTCCCCTGCCCGCTTCCTACCCCGCTGACCCTCCTCTTCCCCCGCAGGATGGCTTTGTCCGTGTGGATCGGGACTACGTGGCGCAGGCAGCAGAGCTGGCGCGGGCATGGGGCTGCAAACACTTTGTCCTGCAGTCCTCCCGAGGGGCAAATGCACAGAGCCGTTTCCTCTACCTCCGCGTGAAGGTGAGGGGTCTGCTGGGGTGGGCTCCTGATGCTCTTGCAGGAGTCGTGGGATGCCAGGATGCTCGGGAAGCAAGCAGAAGCTGAGGTTTAGAGATCCAAATGGCTCTGAGGGTCCTGCTGCTGTGGGACAAGAGAAGGGGCTGGCTGGACAGCTATGCAACTGGCTTCTTATAAAGCAGTACAACATCTGCATGCAGTGTCTGCCTTCCTCCTCAAACTCCAGAAACATCTGCTGGGGTCTGTAGCCCAATAACAGTTCCTCAGCCTTAAGCTGGGATGGCTTCACAACTGTGTGGGGAGACTCAGGGTTGTGTCCCGGTGAGGCATGGCCCATCGCATGATGGAAAGCCCGCAGGCTCCCCAGGGAGGACCACACCCATCACGAAAGCTTTTTTCTCCATATGTTGTGTGCTGCAGCTCCCAACACCTGCTGAACTCAGAGCTGCCTGCCAGTGTCTTGTGCCGCCTTGATCCATCCCCAGGCTGGATGCGGAGTTCCAGGTGCTCTCCGGAGCAGCCTGTTGCAGTTTAGCGTGGTGGCTGCAAGGGCACACTGCTGACATGTGGTCCATGTCCACCACAGGCCCTTGCCCCAGCTGCCTAGCCTGGAGAGCTGTTCCCTGCCTGGCCAGTTCCAGCTTCACGTTGGTGTTAGTCCTGCCCTTGGCTCAGCAGGTCTTTCCTGCCTGTTCTTGAGGTGGCAGGGATGGTGCTTGCAGTCATCCTTGTCTCCTTTCGTCCTGCCTGGCTGCTCTGACAGGGAGAAGTGGAAAACCTGGTCCAGGCTGTTGGTTTTGATCACTGTACCATTCTCCGGCCAGCGTGAGTACTGGTAGAGGAGGGAGGGCACAGAGTGGAGGGTTGCCAGGGCAGCAGGGAAATGCTTCACTGGGAGATGGAGGAAGAGGAAGGGTACATGAGGGCAGGACCAGGGATGGAAGTGGAGAATGCCAGCAGCTGCAAATGCAGCTCATGGATGAGCAGACTGCTTCCCAGTGCTGCAGGGAGTAAGCTCTGCAGTTTTCTATGGCACATCCCACTGCTAGTGCCATGTGCCATGCAGGGAGAGGAGCCTTGGGCTGAAAGCAAAGGTTGAGGCACATAGGTCAGAGATTAGCTCCAGATGGACCTTGACCTTATGCAGAGGGAACACTCACCTGTGTCCTTTCAGGTGTACTGTGCTCTTGCTACCTAGGAGAACTGGAAATCTGCTTTTGTCAGCACAGTGGGGAAAGGAGTTTAGTGTCCAAGGGCCCACCTCTGTCACGTTCCATGACCCTGCCAAAGCCCAAAGCCCATGTCAATTCAGGGAGCTTGTCTGGGCCCTGGTGCAGCTGGAGAACTCGGTCTCTAGCTTTCACCCAAGATTGTTTCATGCTGACCCACCTCACCTTCTTGCTCTGCAGGGTGCTGCTGTGCAAGCGCCAGGAGTCCCGTCCCATGGAGTGGATAGCCCAGCAGTTCTTGGGTGCTGTGTCTTGGCTGTTCCCCACCGCTTACTCAGTGCCTGTGGAATTGGTGGCCAAGGCTATGGTGGCCTGTGTGCTGCAGCCAGGAGAGGGGAAGGTAAAGGTGCTGGAGAACAGGGCCATCCATGAGCTGGGAAAGGCGGTACCACAGCAGGGCACATAGAGCAGAAGGGATGACAGGCAGGAGCTTGATTCACTCTTCACGTGCTCTCTGGGCTGAGGATGAACACACTCATGGGAGAGGTGTGGGGTGCTTGCATGGCTAGTGTGGAGCCAGAGGTACACCCAACTTCTTTGCACTTTGGTTGATTCTGTCAAGGGATCAAAAATGCAGGTGCTGGCTGAGGATAAACAATGTGCTCTGCTGCCTGGATCCATAATACGAATACGGGTCAAGATGATGTAATCCAGGCCTTGAATAAAACCCTGTGATTGATCTGGTTGTGCCGGCTTTGTGTTGAAATAATGTCTGTCTCCAATAACCCAGCCTCAGCTCATGTGCTTGGATCATGTCACTTCAGGGAATGCTCACAGGCAGGTGACAGGCACAGGAAAGCAAAGGCACAGCTGCCTGTGTGGAGGCTGCACTTGACAGAACACATGGTGGCACCGGTGCTGCTTGGATAGCCGAACCCCTGGGTGCTCAGCAGCAGCTGCTGAGGTGCCGGGAGCAGTGGCTCTGCCTGCGGCAGGTCTGTGCAGACACTCCTGGCCTCATCTGCTCAGGGTGCAGAGCTCCAATGACGCTGCTATTCACACCTGGCCTGCCACTCTGTACCTGTAGTCACAGAAACACGGTGCAAATACTTGCAAACACCCGTCCCTCTGGGCTTTCCTTGCAGGCACCAATGAGTCTGAGCCCAGCTGCGTTTTTCCAGGAGTGCTCTGCATGTGCAAAAGTTGAGGTCAGCCCTGTGCGCACCTTGTAGGGGGCTTGCTCCTGCCCAGGTGCCAGAACAGGAGCAGTTCCTTGCTCCAAGAATGACACAAGAACAGACGAGAGACCAAATTGCAAGAGGACAAAAAGAAGCTTTAATACAAAGGATTCTCCGGCTTACATAGACCAGTACAATACATTCTACTTGATTGGCTAGTTAAAAAAAAATCAAATCTCACACACCGTCCTTGAGAAGAACAGAAAAACAAAGTGGAAAAACACCACCTGCAGATTGTTTATACTAACAAGTTAACACATTCCTACAACTCCCTAAAAATTCTCACAAGCCACTGTGAGAAACAGTTGCTGTTTCTCTCTCCCTGACCAGGCTGGCATCCACAGAGTGGTTCCTTCTGTAGGTCTGGAGCAGGCACGAGGAGCAAGACAGTGTCCCAGGTGTGGCCCCGGCTGTTCTCAGGCCTCATGCTCAGGGTTGAGGAACTCGGTGGCTCCCCACATGGGATGCAGAACATACGTGACTCCCAAGTTCCCTGCTGGCCAGAGTCCCAGTGCTCCGGGTAGCACTGCTTTCCAGGATTTTCTCTGACCTCACCCACGGCTCTTGTGTCAGTGACTTGGATGGGGAAAATGGAGGGAGCCTAGATCTCATCTCCTCCTTCTACACAAGCATTTCCATCCTTGGCTTGGGTCTTGGAAGGTTGCTGGAAGCAGTGAGATGGTGTAAGGACTGTACCTAGACATTTCTCAGCCACGTGAGTGGC